TGTGTGTGTGTGTGTGTGTGTGTGTGTCAGAGACGGCCAATAGCGAGGCTCAACCATTTCAAGGTCTGACCTTGAAAGTGGGTCCTAGTCTCAACAACTCTAACAGGACAGTACAGTGGCGAGCAAAAAATCAAAAAAATTGGCAATTTTGCTGAGGGCACAATAATACCACATCGTCATATGCGTGTATAGCGGTGTAGCCCTGGATAGGCCCGGAACAGCGTAATTTATCTAGTAAATAGCTATTTTGTAGTATAGTAGCCTATATCGATATGTCTACGCGACCTCGCCGCGAACCGACTCCTTCTAGCCGCCTCCTGGAGGCACGCGCGGCAGCTGTTGCAACGAGACCAAATCCGCCTATATCGACGCCAACACCTTCAAGGACACTGTCTCCGACCTCAAGAGAGCTCGCGGAGCCTACCCCAGTGCCACCTAGGCTAGGACCTGCTGTGCCAGCCAGTTCAGGCGGTAGAAGACCTCGTCAAACCCTCAGGGGGAGACCTACCGCCGAGCGATTCCAGACCTCGCGGAACTCGCAATGGCTATTCAAATCACAGTTCCTTGAGGATGAGGACGAGCTTAACTCATCCTCAGATCTAGATGAGTCAAACAACGAGATATCTAGCCATTCTAGCCAGATATTGAAGCGGCCGCGGAGTGGTGGTGTTATTGTCGCAGAGGAAGTTGCGGAGGATACACATATATCTATCCCACCACCTTCGCATCAACCACAGGCCACAGAACAGCGTCAACGACATAAAAGGACCTCAACAACAAGGCAAACAGAGTCTCCAGATATAGAAGCCTTTGAAATGAGCAAGGTTTCGTTCAAAATCATCACATCTGTGATGGTTGGAAGGTCTGTTGAACTTTCCGCAGGACGAGGGTACTCAAATGTTCGATATCGACATTATTATACACGCCTACCAACGACGCCTGGAAACCAAGTATCCACCTCGCCAGTTCCATCTCAACCCTCCTGCCTTTGGCGAAGAGCTTAGTTTGTCGATTTCAGGCAGGAACCAGTTCAAACTGAACTGCTAGAATGACGAGGATTTCGAGAAGTTCGCAAAGCGATGGTGGGAGATCCTCTAGGAACCTAGGCGCCAGAGGCATACAATCCAGGTCTCTGACTATTCGCTTCGAGGCCAGGCCAGTTACGCCTCTGCCGGCTATCCTGGAGGACGCAACACAGGCTGGGCGCCGGCGCGACGAGGAACAACGATCGAGACCAAGCGCTAGCCAGCGCCAGCGCCAGTCAATCGCGGCAAACGAACCGCTCAATGTCGCCACTGGCGATATCCAGATATTTGAGCTAACTTCTCAGTTAAATGGGCTCGATAAGTCTTTCATGAGAGAGGTCTTTCTCCTGAGAAGCCTTCTCGGCAACTCTATCCATAGAAGTTAGGAAATGGCAAGTTAGGTGTCGCACAGTCATCTGTTCACACACAAGGCGGGTGTATAAGGTAGGCATTCTTCGTTGCATCCAAATTTGCTACGGCTGCACTGTTCACAAACTCTCTACGTGTGTTCTGCGCTCGAGCCTGCCATTCTGCCCTACAAGAAATAAGTTACATAATAAGGTGACATTCTTCCAATCAACCGGATTTGGGGGTCAGAGTTTGCAGTCGTTATCTTATAAGGATCTACATCGCTTAGCCACCTATACCTTTCGATACTCGCGGAATATCAATAGGAAGTGGGAAAGGGAGACAAAAAAAAATGTATAGACCAAAGACCACCTTAAAAACAAAGAGGGAAGAGTGATGGGGGTGGTGGGGGAAGAAATCAATTCATAGGAAAAAGGGTCTTAATGGAGAATGTAAGAATCTGTGCGCGTTGAAGGGAAATAGAAAAGGACGATAAGAACTATCACCGAACTAGTTAATTTAAAGGAAGAACGCTGCGCACGTAGATGCCAACTTCGTATCCCAAAGGACTATAGAACACCCTAAGTATATGCTGTCGTAACCCTTCCAAGGCTTTATCATCGATCTGCGGAACAATTAGGCTAACTCTGAGTGCTACTTACAATACCGACAATTGGCTTCGCGCTGTCGTGATAAACGATCCATTCTATACCCTAGGCGCCCCCGAAACCCGAAACCCGGAAAAAGGAAACAACCCGACAACATTGTGGTCGGCTATGCACTCCGACAATGGCTCTACATCACAAGCCTTGACCAATACCTATCAGTCTCCTGGGCGGCTCAAGAATCAACTGACTTTCGAATGCGCCGACGGCGAGACGATCGTAGTTGATCGCGATATTGCCGAAGCATCCACGCTAATTGAGGGTATGGTTGGCGATCTTGGTGAGGAGGCCTTCGGACACTCTATTTCGATCCCGGGTGTTCATATCGCCGTTCTCAAAAAAGTGATCGAATGGTGCACCCGTCACAGGCAAAACGGCCCCCGGCCCAAAGACGGCTCCGACCTTTGGAAGGAGATCACAGGTGTCGATCTCTGGGATCGGGAATTCGTACAAGTCGATCAAGAGATGCTTTTTGAGATCTTGCGTGTAGCCGACTACCTGCACGTAAAAGGGCTCCTTGACCTCTGCATCGAGACGGTCGCTCATATGATGAAGGGAAAGTCACCAGAGGAAATCCGCAAGATTTTCAATATTCAGAAAGATCTGACGGGTGAGGAGGAACAACAAATACGCTGTGAAAATCGCTGGTTTTATGGGGCTGGAGCGTGAGTGTGGGGCCGTCGGTTGATCACAACTCGAATACAAAAGGTGCCAAAATTGTTCAGCTTTTATAGTGATGTGCGAAATCGGTGTCCTGAATAGGCGCGAAGAATCCTTGTGAGGATAATGGGGTTGCTCCACTATGGGTTACGCTTACCTTATAATGGAAATTCTCGAAACTCAATATCTGACCAATGAACTTCCCTGCGATTGCGGAGCTGCAGATACTGTATTTCACGTACACCGTCGTTTTCGTCATTTGAATGTGCTTCTACCTCCCCCGCTTCCCGGTTCAAGAAAATGTGTCACACTACTTTCGATATGCAGTACTATTATTATGGTCTTGATTAATTTTCGGGATCATCGCTATCGCAGATGTGATGACCGTCCGGCTGGTCGACTCTGGATAATTTTGAAGTCTCGAGTTGACCTCGTTCACGCACAGACGACTATGGGTGACCAGTCGGTCAAGCCCAAGGTACTAGCGTTGTTGCTCCCTGCGGACGGGTCAGAGGTTAAACTTGTCAGCTACGATCGTATGGACAGAGAAGATGGAGAGAGGAATATGAACGCTGAGTTCTATGACCCAATTCCAGATCTAAGACCGTGGCTGGGGAACTGTTTCCATGAGCGGAGGATGGCGACTTTCTACGTCGACACCAAAGAGCAATGTCTACGTGATCCTGTCACGAGCGCATTCATCAAATCCGAAGACTCTGCTTCTCATGGGAGATATTGTCTCTACTACACTTTGTCATCCGCACGACCACTTAACGAAACGTGTAGGCGGCTTACAGGAGTCGAGATCCCATTGGATAGACTATTCTGGAGGGGCGACGTGTTGGTTACTCGGTACGAAGGAGACCTGGGCATGGGACATGAATACCTCGATGTCTCCTACACAACATTGAACGCAGTCGTGGATGTGTTAAAGCAGGCTTTTGCCAGTCGAGGCTTGGAGAGAATGAACGAAGAGGGAAATTTCCTCGGGCTTGAGATGGAAAGAATGAGTTCGTTCCAGCCATTCGCCAATGATGGTGAGTCTGGCTAACTTCACTAGAGCTCCAATTTCCAGAACTCTATCAGGCAACAGAGGCAGGTGCGTTGGAGAGACTCCGGATCGGACAGTCATTGAGTGAGGATGATAAGCAGCTTCTCAGCAGAATTCCCAAATTTGTCATTGAATGGCCGGACGGTTCTAGAGAATAACTTTAAGCCGTACACCAATATCCTCGCAAGCATGTCCTCTGTGTCTTTCGCAATTAACCTGCCAGTCAACCGCCGCTGCAATTCAATTCAGATTCTTCCCCGCCAGAGTAACTCCTGGCTTTCTAGCTCTGCATTATTCGTGTGGCATTTTCATACAGTAGTCGACTTCTGCTGGTACAGTGATCGGCTTGTTAGATTCTTCAGCCAGTGTGCCACTCCATCTCATCGATTCCCCTCTATGGTCCTGATCATACAGTATCATCGGTTGCGTTAGCCTCTTCCACTTCATCATCGATATCTGAGTCGTTTTCGTCCGTCATCGAAATCACCGTAGTGATCATCGAAGTAACAGATCAGTTCTTCGCTTGATGATTCTGATCGGCTAAAGAAATTGGTTGGGTCGGAGGGATCGGTTGTGACTTGAACTCCTCAGTTAGCCTTGTTACCTTAGTACAGACCATAGACCTACGAGAAAGCCTGGTAAAGAGGTTCGACAAGCTGTCCGCCTCCACCGCTTTCCTATCAACCCGCCTAAAAGCGGGCATGATAATCTCTTGATACCAATTCCCACGCGCGACAAGGTCATTTCATTGCCAATGGCGAACGATCTCTCTTTTTGTGACCTCCCACAAGCATACGTAGTGATCTTTGTAGTATTCATTCAATTTCCCGTAAGGATCAGCGATGCCGTAGTGTTCCATCTCATCAGCGACGTGTAGGATGGGCAGGCCGTTTCGAACTCGGGTGTTAGGATCGACAACAGTGAGGGTGTGAGGGCCCCGATATTTTCGTTGGGCTCTTAAATGTGCGAGGTCTTCAATTTTGGATGGAGAGGTTGTGAATGAGATAAAAGGTGTCGGTGTCTAAGCTTTGTGATCAATATGAATGGTTAACGAATCCTTCCGAGATTTGAAGGTATCAAGGCGTTCACGCTCCGCTCTTGATTTCATACAGCCATCGCCATTTGGTTGGATTCCTGAGCAGTGGTCCCAGAGTCTGAGAAATGGCTTGTCGAAGATCTGGAAGTAGTGCGTCCGCCATGAATGTCGGTCCTCTTTCGACACAGTCGCTGAAACGGGATTTAGACGGCTTGAAACGGTGTCACGGTTAAGGGAGACACCTTCCTCCATTATGGAGGTGGCCTTCGGCAGCGACCGTTGCTCGTTGGCCAGCACGAGGGGTAGAGGTTGGTGCGCAGGCTTGACCTCGGCAAGGGAAGCCACTTTCTTCTCCGGTTCAAATGACGTCGAGCTAGTGTATTGTAAAATCGTGTATTTAAGTAAAGAAGCCGCTCGATAATAATTGGACATTCTAGCGAAGTTGTACTTAACTATAAACAGGAAAGCGCATAGAAAGTAGTCTTACTCCACCTCTCCTAGAACCTATCTACTCTTAGTTAAATAGGACACCAATTTCGCACATTACTATACGCTTCTACCCTACATTCCCCTTATGGTTGGCACTTGTCTTCTCCCCCGGACTCCTGTCGCCAAGAACACAAAGTTAAATGACTTTTGAACGGATTTGTGGGTGCTGATCATATCCAGCATTTTGGTGCCTGCGCACAGTGCAAAGAGATATGTAGTAAATCCGACATGGGCCGTGAAAAAACATGGATAATGGCGCAAGGGATAAATCCTTGTCATTATCGACATGAGGTGTCCAACCTTATTCAGTGGTAGAATGTTCACTACACCTAATCATCTCGTCAATAGTTACACTCTGGTACTTTCCGCCTTGAATGTCGCCACGGTGCGCCGCTCGATCGATAGTTTCGATACTCCCTCTCTCTTCGATAAGTCGCTATATCTCCCTGTGATTCGACGCCTTTGCCCGGCCACAAGCACATTTGCCTCCCGAATCGACTGCTTGGACATTCAGTTCCTTGCGGGCGAGCAGCGCTTACACAACACTGGAGCGGCCTTGGTCCGTTGCGGCGTTGCCCACATCAAAGCAGTCTTTGCTTTCACGTCTCCAGCATTCACATCCACCCAGCCTGAGCACAGAAGCCTTCGAACAATCTCCAAATCGCCATGCTCGGCCGTATATGATAGAGCTGTCTTCTCGCCAGATGTATGTTCGTCCCTACAGTCGGCTTCCTAGCATCACATTAGCAATTGCCTCGCCGATCCACCGGGCAGCCATGCGTCCTTTGCCTAGACGCTACGCTCCAAGGAACTGCCTCAACGAGGACAGCAGGCCCTCAGGTCCGGGCGTGTTTTGATGTGGCAAGGCCCACTTACAGAGACTGGCCGTGGTCATCATCCCCCACGAGAAGTCTCAGCGCTCCTGATGCTTGTGCGTCTGGAGACTTTGAATAGTTTGATGTCGGGGTACGCGTGCATACCGGGCTGCTAGACGTGGCCCTTACAACGTGGTTGACTTCATCCGTGCTATGTTCTTTGCAACCGCACTTACCACAACATCCTTTCGACATGCCTCGTATACAGTACCTCGGGGATTTATGGGGCCATTTTGTACCAAAATGGTGAACATCTCATGGGGTCGATGTCATTGGCCGTGACCCTGTGGCAATGGCTTGCCCTAAGGCGTGTAGCCCTCGATCGTGTAGCTGAAGATACTCGATAACAGCCGGAAGGTCGCATTCACCCTTTTGAATGAACGCATCTAGGTCCATGCCACAAACTCTGGTGGAGAGCCGAAGATACGTGTCATTAAATTGGCTGGCTGGGTCATAGACAAACGGTCGGATCCCCCTCTAATTGGATACTTCTGCTAGCCAGCTGACGGTGCAAATCCGCGGCGAGAGCGAGCGGACCAATATGGAAGGTTAGACGAACTGATGGGTATGATTCGCGAAGCCCGCAGACGATAACACCGTCGCATTCAGTCCAGACAGGGTCGCTGTACTGTAGAAATAATAGAGAGAAGACGGGGAAAATCTCATCCTTGCACGCAGCACCGCGCGTGCGGTATGCGTCAAAATTGAGGGAATCCACCCCGTCAGCCGTCCGCAGCGCCGAAGAGGACGGTTTCTATTCGCTCGAAAGAGCACTACGACCGATATATCGTCGCCCGACGGTTTGTCGTGAGTTAGGTGGCATTCAGAGCCGACGGACGATGAAACATCGGCCGTCTGTGGAGACAAGACCCCATGTCGCGTGCGAAGCTGACTTTCCGGAACTTGATAACCGGGCGGGCATACACACAGAGGCAACCATGTGAATCATTTGTGACAATTCACTCAAAAAGAACGGCTATTAGGAACCCCAATCGAGGGCGGAGAAAATGACGTCCTTGCGATAGTTGAAACCAAACCACTCCGACTTTATCCCTTCACAAAATCTAAAATGCATTATGAAATTTTTCCACTAGTTCCTCACTAGTATCATTTTCACAATCAATCACATTTTGTAGGTGGGCGGATACAGCAATAAGAAGAGTATATTCTCCCGCCACTCAGAGGGAAGGGACGGGTGCGTATCGGTCAGTTAAGAAAGAAATTAAGGGAGCAGAAATCTAAAAGGATAGAAATCTTCTAGGCGGAAAATCAGGAAAGTATTATAAAGAAAGCACTACGAAGAAGGAAAAAAAAGCTAAGATCGGAGAGAATTTCAAAGCAAAGGGTAATCTGTCAATGTGGACTCCGTTGGCATTGTCATTTTTCCTTTAGTCTTGCGTCCGGGTCGCCTTGTTTTCTCCACTCGAAAGATACAGTATTCCAGAAATGGACGCGTGTTAAACAAATCTAAACCGCTATCATATACATATCATTGAAATCGCCCCTATCACGGCATATAGAAACCCCTGTCATCGAGCACCTCAGATAAATTACATTTATAGTCGCCCCAAGTAGCGAAAGGGTTTCACAAGATATTAACCCCGAAGATGGATATTTTCTTCTCTTTTGGCCGTCCTGATATTCGTAGCCCCCAAGGAATCGTACTCCCTTTAAATCGCCAAGTTGAGAACATCTCCTTATGTATGATCATATACTCCGCTTCCAGCCTCTTATTATAGGACGCGATTGCTTTCTCTTTCTCTTCCAGAAAACCTACCTCTTTATTTACATCATTACATTCTCGGTGTGTCCCGTCGCCAGTCTATCGGTCCCTCTCCCTGCCCCACGGAGGCTGTCCCTTTGTCATTGGCACCACTGACGTAGGATCTCGTGTTTTGGTATTCCACACTGGCGATTGCGCGCTCTGATCGAGATCGTCAAGGCAGCAATACCGTGTTGAATCGAGGGGGCCGACGCGGACATACTCACCCACCCACCCCCAAACACACTCAAGATGGTGCCGGGAGAGTTCATGGTGTATCGCGACACAGAAGTGGCTCCCACTCCGGTCAAACAAGTGGCAATAGATAGGTACACTCCTCGGTGATACGAGAGCGAGGTCCGCCGTGAGGCTGACCGTCGGTAGTGAAGGGAACACCGCGTCCATTCACGACAACTACGACATTCGCTTCTGGCAAGCCCAGAAACCCGACTCTCCCCTCCTTCTCGATGGATCCTCACTCAGGAATAGACATGTAACCTGTGTGGCACTGGACCGTGGCATCGCTTATATAGGGACCTCCAAAGGCGAAATTCTGATTTTGAAATGGCAACTAGCGATGACCCAGAAGCAGCCACCGGCACAGGAAGATTCGGTATGGGGCCCAACCTTGTCCCTCTGTCAGGGCAACCGGATCGTCTCCGTGGATACCAGGGCTGACTGCCTGATCGTTGGCAGTGAGGACACCCTCTTTATCGTCAAGCCCCTGTCTTCCGATCGACCGTCGAAGAGGGAGGTAGCGCGGGTCACCCTCCCACTCTTTCCTCGCGGGGCATCCATCCAGATTGTTCGCGTCGTCGAGCGTGACTGTCGCCAGTGCCTTCTGGTCGTCGCACACGATCCGAGACAACAGAAGCTCTATATCTTGATGAGTCCTTGGGAAGAGGGAGACACTCTAGAACGTTATTGGAACTATCCCTTCTCCATCTTTTCGTACTCGGATGACGAGGAGAAAAGGTCCAATCAGTGCAAAAATCGTTCTCGCTCACTGGACGACGTCGTCGGTGCACGGATGGCCACCTATCAAGGCACGATCTTGTTCCTAAGGCGTGCGGTTGACTCCTCACACGATCCCCCACGGGTCCGGGACGACCACTGGGTCCACGACGTATTCACAGCGCGGACCACGGCAGCCCTAAGGACAGACGGTTACGATTCGCCAGCTGAAATCGCTCTCACCAGCGCAGCTGGCGAGCCGGTGTATGTGAGTGCTGCCTGTGATGTTGTCACGAGGTTGTGGTACAACACCGACGTGAGCGATGGTCGATGCGTGCGAGTCTTCTCTGTTAAGGATTGCAGCTCCTTTCTAACGGGAAGCTTCGCGGTTATTCTCGTGACTGGGGAGGCAGACGGACCACGTCATCTAGAACAGATCTGCCGCTCCCTGTTCCAAGGGACGTCCTCCCGGCAAGAGTATCACTACTCTAGCGCGCCCCGTCAATTGAGGAAGCCCGCTACTGATGGATCTCTTATTCTGGCAATGCCCAACACGATTTTACTCGCAATCCTAGAGCGCGTCAAAGAGCTGTTAGGGCCCCTGAGCGCACGAAGGTACGGCGCGGGCCCTTATGAATCGTACGGAGCTCTCCGTCTCACCTGCCGGCGTTTCTGGGACTTGATTCAACCCCGTAGGTCTTTACAAGTCGCTGAGCAAGACTTTTACCGCTCCGCTTTGCGGGATGAAAAGACGACAAGATTGCTACCTATTTACGCGCTCCGATATGATGAGCTCTTCATGGGTAGATTATCTGACGCGGATGTGGATAAATTCGCTCGAGCGACGGAGCTCGACTCTTTAAGGTGAGAGGGTACAGACCTCGGCCACGAGGGTTGAAAGCTGACCGCGGCTAGTCTACAGAGGGTCGGGAAAAATTTTCTAGCCCGAGCCCAGCGCGAAACGCTGCGGCGGATACGAAACGCCGACCTTGTGGATATTCCCCTAAATCTTGTCCACGAGATGAGCAATCTACGTTATCTCTGCTGGACAGGTGACACTCAAACGACCTTGCCCGAGTTATTACAGCTGGAGCAGCTCAGACTGATGATCCACCGGCCACGCTCCACACTCCAAAGCTTTCCTTCTCGAATATTCGGGTCAAAGTATCCGAAGCTAACGTACGCCCATATCGAATACATAAATCCCTTTGACCCAGCCAATATTGACGATGGCGATGACCCAGAGGAAATAGACCAAGATCATAGTACTTGGAACGATCCCTCCCTGCTCCTCCAACACTTAGATGCACCCCTTCGGACCCTCTATGTTATTAATGCTCATTTCGGCTTGTATGCTCTTCAGGACATGGATGTATTACAGTCTGTGGAAGAGCTCTACATAGGATTTAGCCTCGGTTTCACGGAGTCGGAAGGCGTCCGCGAGGATTTCCCAAGCCTCAAATATCTTGGTATCATAGTGGATGACGAGATAGAGCTGCCCTGTTTGGGCACTCGACTCCCCAGAGCGACACAAGTTTCAATTATAGGGAAGAGTCAAGTCCCAAGGGGCAAATCGAGAGAGACGTCTGGGGATACGTTACGGCGTATGTATCCTTCCCTTTTAAACTAGTTCTGGGGCAGGTAGGGACGTGAAAGTGTACTTGTTTACTATATCCGAATCTAGATTGTTGTTTGGCCCACTTTACAGTCATTTCGAGATGCGTGAGTTAACCCTTAACCACTCTTAGGAGATCAATCAAGTATTATGAAATTGGGATATCTCTCTCTGACTGAGGAAACGAGATCTAAGCAATAAATAAATTACTATGGGGAAAAAGGGGCCTTGGGCTATGGGGTTAGGGCTTCCCCTGGGGGGCGAAACTCGTGTTTAGTCAATCGTCGCCCCGCATCGTAATCCAAATCTATTTCTCTCCCAGAGATTCATCCCCAGGGGAAGGAACTCGAAGGAATGGCCGGCAAATCTGGAGGTTCGTCCCCTGGGGGACGATATAGTGCACAACTTCACCTGGCTTCCCCATGTATGGTTTCAAGAACTCGGCGGGAAGAACATGGCCGAACCAAGCCAAGTTACAAAGTTCTTTCAAGACTTCTTCCACCGGTTGTATCAATCCCAGGTGTCATTTATCGAACGGTGGTTTAGAACGCTGCTTGCGGAAAGAAGATCAACGGAGCCAGCATGCATTCTCATGGCAGTTGGTGCTGTCGATAGGATTTGCGTGGCGTCGGGATACCGACTATCATTGTTGCTTAGGGAATTCGAACCTATCATGTCAACTTTAATTGCTCCTTGCTCTCCGGGATCATCCTCCACCTCGACGAAGGCTTGTCAAGACCACGCTCGCGAGTTGTATCACTGTTGCGTCAGTCCGGACTCAGCGAATAAGACTCGCCTTGCGGCCGCTGGTTTCACATGGTTCCCCCATCCTCCGTCCCGTTCTTCAACACTTCACTGGTGGACCGATGAAGGTCGACCATTGGGTAGCCGCCATCGCTGCTGGGATACTCGCCAATGAGATCGAACAGGTTTCAGTGGCACCAACGACAATCGTCTCCTCCTGCCTCTCACGATTAAGCAGGACAACATGGAGGGTCTAGCGCACACGAACGCTGAAGTACTGACGTATCTTCTGCAGTCGCGTAATCGGGCCTATTCTCTCGCCGGTCTCCGAGAAGTGTCTGGTGGAAAGATATTCCACCGGCGATTGTCAGAATTTGACCTCCTATATAACTCTACCACATGGGCATTCGGATCCTGCTCGACGCCGGCGCATTGATTTTAGAGATGACGAACGCCACGCTGGCCAGGATGTGGCTCGAGATT